CCAAGTCCAGGTGAGCAGCCTTCACCCGGTCCACCGAGACGTGCTCGGCCTTGCCACCCAGGTCGACCACCAGGTGCTTGTCCCCGTGCTCCAAGACCCGGAAAGGCCCATCATAAGGGGGCTGCAGGGGGCCTCTGTGCGCATCGTGCCGGATGAACACGTGCTCCGCCGAGCGGAGCTCTGCGGGAACCTGGGACAACTGAGTACCGTGCTGAGTAGTAGGGATCGGAGCAAAGGCCTCAGCGGCGTCACGCAGGAAAGCCCGCTGGGCCGACGCCGACCAGGGAGCCGATGCATTTGGGAGGAAATCCCCCGGAACTCTCAGCGGCTGACCGTAGACCATCTCCGCTGTAGAACACTGCAGATCTTCCTTAGGTGCGGTCCTCAGGCCCAGCATCACCCAGGGCAGCTTGTCGACCCAGTTACCGTCCGTAAGGCCGGCCTTGAGGGCCGCCTTCATGGAGCGATGAAAGCGCTCGCAGAGGCCGTTAGCCTGAGGGTGGTAAGCGGTAGTCCTGTGCAGCTTAACCCCCAAACCGCCTGCCACAGCGTTCCAGAGCTCGGACGTGAACTGAGAGCCCCTGTCTGAGGAAATGTCTGACGGGGTGCCAAAACGACACACCCACGTTGCAATGAAGGCCCGGGCAACGTCTGCGGCTGATGTCGAAACGAGCGGAACCGCCTCCGGCCAACGGGTCGTTCTGTCCACCATGGTGAGGAGGTAGGAAAACCCCTGAGAGGAAGGCAACGGACCAACCAGGTCAATGTTGACGTGATCAAACCTCCTCTCAGGCACCAGAAAACGCTCCAACGGGGCCTTCGTGTGGCGGTGCACCTTAGCGCGTTGACAAGCCACGCACTCCCTGGCCCAAGTCCTCACGTCCCTTTTCAGTCCTTGCCAAACGAACTTCGCCGCTACCAAACGCACCGAAGGTTTAACGCCGGGGTGTGACAGGCCGTGCACAGCCTCGAACACAGGACGCCTCCAGCTGGCAGGGACGACAGGCCGCGCCAGGCCCGTAGAGACGTCACACAGGAGAGTAATGCCCGCGTCGCCGAACACCACGTCCTCCAAGCGCAGCCCCACGCTCTCCACCTTCAGGGCCTGGACGCCGGGATCTGTGACCTGGTCTGCCGCCATGCGAGTATAGTCCAGGCCCAACTGGACGGCACCGATGACGACCCTGGAGAGGCAATCAGCAACCAGGTTCGACTTGCCAGCCATGTGCTTAATGTCCGTAGTGAACTCCGATATGTAGGACAGCTGCCGCTGCTGACGTGCCGACCAAGGCTCCGCCACTTTTGACATGGCGAAGGTGAGCGGCTTGTGGTCGACAAACGCCGTAAATTCACGGCCTTCCAGCATGAAACGGAAGTGCCGCACGGCCAAATAAAGTCAGAGGAGCTCCCGGTCAAAGGCGCTGTATTTGCGTTCTCTAGGCGTCAGCTGGCGGCTGAAAAAGGCGAGCGGCTGCCAAGCGCCCTCCACCCACTGCTTGTGCACTGCGCCGACCGCGTAGTCTGACGCGTCCGTGGTGATGGAGATGGGAGCCGTAGATGATGGGTGTGCCAGCAAAGCCGCCTGAGCCAACGCGGTCTTGACCTCAGCAAAAGCGCCGTCCGCCTCTGCTGTCCAGTCGATCTCCTGGACGGGGATCTTGCCTTTCAACGCTTCATACAGCGGCCGCATGATGTGTGCGGCCCGGGCGATGAAACGGTGGTAGAAAGTCACCATCCCCAGAATCTCACGGAGCGACCGGGCTGTGAGCGGGCGAGGAAACGCCGCAACAGCCTCCACCTTCGCTGGCAGAGGTGTCGCACCGCCCTTGGTGACGCGGTGCCCCAGGAAATCGATGTCCGACACCCCGAACTGGCACTTTGCAGGATTGATGATTAATCCGTGTTGGTTGAGCCATGTGAAAAGGGCTCGGAGGTGGGACAGGTGCTCCTGCACTGAAGCGCTGGCGACGAGTATGTCGTCGAGGTAAACAAACACAAACGGCAGGTCCCGCAGCACTGAATCCATCAGGCGCTGGAACGTCTGAGCGGCATTCTTGAGTCCAAAAGGCATCCGCAGGAACTCAAAAAGTCCAAAAGGCGTTATCACTGCTGTCTTGGGAATGTCCAGGGGGTGCATGGGCACCTGGTGGTATCCACGCACCAGGTCCACCTTGGAAAACACCCCCGTACCGGCCAGATGCGCCGAAAAGTCCTGAATGTGCGGCACCGGATAGCGGTTAGGCGTAGTGGCGTCGTTGAGTCGGCGGTAATCCCCGCACGGGCGGAACCCGCCGTTCGATTTGGGAACGACGTGCAGGGGGGAAGCCCAAGGACTGTCGGAGCGGCGGACAATGCCCAGGCGCTCCATGGTTGCGAACTCCGCCCTCGCTACAGCCAGCTTAGAAGGGTTCAACCGCCGGGCCCTGGCATAGACAGGAGGCCCCCCGGTAGTGACGTGGTGTTCCACGCCATGCTTAGTGGTAAGCGCAGAGAAGGTGGGTAGCGACAGGTCTGGAAACTCGGCCAACAGTCTGAGAAACGTGTCTGCACCTGACAGCGAGCCTGACAGCCCGTCGTACGCTGCGCTGCCAAGTGTGCACACGAGGGAAGAAAACGTTAAGGCATCAACCAAACGCCTATTCTTAACGTCCACTAAGAGTCCATGAGCACACAAAAAATCCGCTCCGAGGGGAAAATAAATGTCCGCTGTCACAAAATCCCAGCTGAAACGCTGTCCTCCGATGCACAAACACATAGGCCTCACGCCGTACGTGCGAATGAGACTGCCGTTAGCCGTCGTCAATCGCGGTCCGTTGAGCGCCCGTGTCACACAGAAACAAGCTCCCCGAAACGCTGTCGCTGAGGAGCCTGCACGTGCCGCCGACGCTCAGAGCCACTACTGAACGCCGGCCCCTCCGTTTCCCGGGGGTTTGTAGCTGCACGGAGCGATGCATCTCTTCGCCCTTGTCCCGAAACGTGCGTGGTAAACGCACTCTCCGGCGTCTCCACGCCGGCTAGCCACAGCCGTGTCCGGCCTCCGCCACGCTTTCTTGACTGCCGGTGGGCCGCTGAGCGTCGCGGCTAACGTCTCTGCCCCGGGCTGTTGCGTAGCCAGGAAAAAACGATCCGCTTCCTCAGCCAAAGCACGGGGCTCCGTGACAGGCGTGTTGGCCAGCGCCATCTGTACCCGGGGAGGCAAGTGACGCAGGAAAATCTCCGTGAATAAAATCCAGGGATCTTCCCCCCCTAGCAGATTTAGCATTTTCTCCATTAGCTGGGATGGCTTGCTGTCTCCTAGGCCTTGAATGTCAAGTATCTGGCGGGCCCTCTCCTTAGCAGATAAGCTAAATGTCTTAAGGAGAAGGGCCTTAATCGCCTCATATTTGCCATGATGTGGGGGGGCTGCGATTAATCCCACCAACCTGGACGACGTGGAGCTCCCCAGCGCTGCTACCACATGGTAGTATTTTAGGTCCCCGTCACGGACCTGTCGGCAGGCGAAATGTGCCTTCACGTGTGCGAACCATGCCTCCGCGGCGTGCTCCCAGAATTCCGGCAGCTTTATGAAAACATCGCGCTCAGCCATGTTCGTTAATTTTCCGGAAACTTTCTCGGAAAAGTCAAGGTCACCAGTGTAGTGCCGTGAAAAGAGAGTCGGAGGCGGTGTATTAAGAATGGAGTTCCAATCTTTATTATCCATTACTTTCAGAGAGGTTAACACATGCACTGCTCTGCCTGATGAGCTAGCAGGAATGGCAGCTAAAGCTACAGGTGTTCCCCACTAAAGGGTCCGTGTGGCAACACAATAAGCAAGGTGAATTATGTCCAATAACGTGTCACCACACTATAGTTATTACTGAGCGGCAGGTGCGAGATAGAAGCCATCGGACAGAGGCACCTGATGCACGCATTTGAATCCGCTCATCATTATTTATCTTGTTAGCACAAATATTGCATCTTGTCATGTCATCTTTTAGAGCAGTCTTTCAAACTTATCCATGCCCTCATTTGCTCACTTTCTCCACTTGTCGTGTTGGAGAATTGCCAGCAGAGGGCGGTGCCGCTTTCAATGTTATTTTCATTTCCAAGACCCTTTTCTTTTTAAACTGGTTTAAATGTCTCTTACTCAACTTAGCTTTTGATTTGTTTTGATGTTGTTTTCCAAGTGAATAGGACAAAAATATGCAAAATGCATTACACCATGGCATATTCATTCTGTGTGTTGCTTCTCAGCTTGACAAGGTGTCCTAAAGCAGGTCGCAGCAATTGATATTCGAGATGTATCTTCCTTATCTGTCTTTTTAAGATGTTTGGGAAATGTTATACCACGAAGAGGCACTGAAATAGCTTTGAAAAACATTTGGGACTGATAATCCACTGAGAAACACAACAAATAATTAAACATCCAAGCAAATGCCAATTCTTTATAGGAAGAAATTGTATCTTTGATGATTTGTGTTCCGCCATGCTAGATACAAACATGGCCTCCAGCTAGAATATATCTATCTTGAGAATACCCTTCACTCATACATTGTGGGACATCATGTGGGTCATGCTACATTTTTCCAAGAGGACACAGGCCCATTTTAAAGAAAGTCTTGCAAATGTCACATGGCTCAGTTAGACGCTTGAGGATATAAGGTCTCATTATCAGCCACCAACCACGAGATCACAGGGAAGAGCATAAACACTGGGAATTAACTAAGAGGATTTCTGAAGCAGTAAGTGACTCATGGAACGACATGGATAATCTCCTAATTAGTGATGCGCTATCATTTGTAAGGATGCCTGAATGTCAGAAAGTTTGATTTGCTCTTTTCAACACTGTGTCTGAATTGCAGAAATCCCAAACTGGATGGTTTAATAATTAAAACGCTGAATGTCAATGATGGTCGTTGTTTGAATGGAGATATTGTTTCTAATAGCATTGTATCAACAAGTGTTAGTTTTTTCTTTCAGCCCGCCCACCCCTCTGTCTCTTCCCATCTCCCTCTCTGTATTGGATGTTCTGCCCTTGTGCTCAGTAAGTCCTTTGTTCGGCAAAGCATCCCTCACATAGCTAAATGCTTCACTGGAGACAGTACCCACTAGCACCTAGTTTGTAACAAGACAGAGTGTTTGCTTCCTAAACCACCAAGGAATGAAGAGTTGGGAGCAAGTGAAAGAGGATGGATTGGTAAGTATCAGTAACACAGGAGCGGAGTAATGAAAGCAGGGTATTTTTGTACATAGAATATATGCAACTATTTCTAATGGCAATGTGAACCTTCTCAAAACAGATCAACGATGACCTCCTGCATTCTTGTAGCTTATTCCTCGAAGTGCATATCAGGCATGCCTCATGGTAAGAAGTCCTATTGAGCTAGGGGAGTCTGATTAATACCGTAAAGGGCTTTCATTGTGGGCTGAAACTCGAGGCTGGTTACCTGAGCTCCTAGGATGACTCTCCGCACGCCAGCTGCCCATCTACGGAGAGCTCCGAGCTGGAGGAAATCCGCAGATGAGTCCTACTGGGAGAGCTTAATACCAGAAGGAGAGGCTTTGCCCCGGGTTTCTCGTCCTCCACAGGCACCACGGCCCCAGAGTGCCATTGAAGGACGACAGCTGGACGGCTGGCTCGAGCACCTACAGAGAATAGAGAGGGAACTTCTGAGAGCCCCAGTTCATGATCAGGTTCCAGCTTTCAGTGATCGGACATCATCCATGCCTGCTCTCCACAAAGAGGCAACCGGACGTGCCTGGAGACAGCCAGGGATCCCGTCTTTCAGCAGGGGTTCATCTTCATGTGGGAGTCCCAGTCGGTGTGAGAGTTCGCTGGGCAGCCAGGAGTCCCTCCAAACAGGGTTTATTTCTCCTCCAGAGCACAGAGGAAGCTGGGAGAGAGCTCATATGATGCAGGCACCAAAGAAGGAGCAGGCTCATCTCAGTAATATTGCTCCAGTCAAAATTGGATGGCTGCCAATCCAAAGAAGAGTGATGATGGTGGCTGATGCTTGCCACCAAAAGTTTGCGGACCAATCTGCAGGCCAGGTAAAACACACAAAACCTAACCAAAGCTTTAACATATATTCAGAAAGATTTCTTAAAGAATATTGAGTAAAACAGTGACACCCGTTGCCTTTTAAAAGGAAGGAAGTAACCAATTATATTTGACTATGCCTCCTGTCTTTAATATAAGATATATTTTGAAGCATTCTTCCCTCAAACATTTGTTCTTCCATGTATCAACCTTTTAAAATGTGCCTTTCAAAGACCCTGAACTTATTTACCCTGGACTTGGTACTAACGTCCTCTCAGGCTGTGTGACTTTCGTTCTGACTTGTCAGTGACACATTTTAAGCTCTGTAAGTCTGAAGGTAAAGCAGTGTGTAATGGAGGCAAGGCCCTGACTCAAACACACAGTGCTACAGAGAGCCATTTGTAGTCAAGTCTCAGTTACCCAGGGCAAAGGCACAGCTCAGGCATCCTTTGAAAACTGCTTACTCTGCAGGAACTACACACATTCTCTAAAGGTTTGCGACTCATTTGGAGCTGTGAGATTGAGCTTTGTGCCCTGAGAGGATGCAAGTCAATGTACAGAGAACATTCAATGGGAGCAGAGGCTATTACAGATAATATGACTTTCAAAATCGATAAGTTGCTGTGCTGTACCAGGGCTTCAACTGAGCTGATGCACAAAGCACATCCCTTCCCTTGTGACTTTTCAATTCAACCTCACTGACTTTGCTATTATGTGCCAGTGCCGGGATTTTTAGGGGATTTTTAAGGACAGGAACTTTATTTTAAAAAATGGGAGAATGTTCATGAGCCCTGGTTTATGTTCTAAGGAATAGCTTGACATTCTGGGGAAATACACATTGCTCTCTTAGCTGAGAGGTGGATCAGAAGATTGATAACACTCATGGCTGTAGCCTATACGAAATATCTTGTACCACAATTAGCGTAGCGTTGCACAAAGACTAAAAACAAGGAAGAATTACATATGGGGATAGCTAGCAAGTTTTTTTAATTGGTTTACACAAACAAGATACAATCTCTTAATTAGTGAGTATTAAAGTTTGTCGTATATGTGTTGTTACCTTCATGAAGAACCAAGCTACCATTTTCCATGTTTCCAATCTTTGTGAGAGGCTTAGCTAACAGGCTGCTCGCTTTCTATTTATATCAGCTCCATATTTACCATCAAACATGAGTGATGTGATTGTGTGATCTTATCTAAATGCGAGAATGAAAGTGAATACGTGTTTTTCCAAAAATATTACACTTTTCTTTCTAATGGGCTGTTTCTTTATAGTTGAAATTGAAACAAGCCATCACTCCAACCTTTCAGAAGAATCGAACAGCAGCCAACAGGCACCATGGTATGTAAGCTCTTGATTTTTGCTGTATGTGTTTACAATAAAAAAATAGAACTGCAGGGTTTTCAGTTGAGTAATCACTCGTTTGCAATCACTGTCCCCACGTACACACACAAAGCCTCACACACACTTGACCTCCATACCAAATGTCAGCATCCTGGTTCAAATATTGTGGTTGCCAGAGGCTGGAGAAATTGTTGTGGACATACAAACCAACAGCACGAACTATAGTGCCGGATGCATCCTAAAATAATCTCCTAATACCAATCAAATCTCCATTATGCAACACTGATTGTTATGTCAAAGTTGTACCTTGAAGAAAAAGGTCAAACATAATTAAAAAACATGAAGTTACTCTCTTGCACAACAGAAAATTGCCTGAACACCCAAAGGTTCCATTTCAATGGATGTTTAGTGCCTGATCAGTGCAAGAACAAATATGGCCGAGGGGTAACTGCAGGGGCTGGGTTGGCTAGAGGGAGAATAAAAAGCTTATTTCAGGGCTGACTAGCTATATAGTCTGCACCCCTGTCCTCTTTAAAGAGTTCACACTGTAAGTATGAACACTTTAAACAACCTTCTGCTCCTAAAATAAAATCAATTTCAAGTACCACGTCCTGACTGTTGTTCCAGTCTTTAGGCAGGATTTCAGGTAAAGGAAAGGCGCTATTAGGTGAGGGAAAAGAGAAGGAAAGGGAGGCGGGGGGAGGCAGAAAGATAAGGAGAGATGCAGACTGATTGAAGAAGGAGCCCTGTTAATCTTCGAACATGGCAGGCCCATACTCTCTGAGTTTGATCTGAGGTTGGATCTTTCAGCCCTGTCCTTGTTTATACCAGAGATTATCCTGGCAAGGCTCGGGTTGCCTGCAGAATTCAAAGCAATCTATCCATGGCAGCAAGGAACTCTTATAGAAACGGAGTGTTTCAAGTATTAACCTTAATGGCATCATATACTGTAGGCTACACATTATTAGTTACGTGCACAGGCTGTAAGATAGGATGAAAAGTATCATCTACAGTAAATATAAAGTGTAACATAATGTCATGCTAGGTCTGATTATTTATTCATCAAGCCTTATGAAGCATGATAGCTTCTGTTCAACCCTTTAATATTAAAGAATAATCGAAGAAAAACTTGCATTTCACATGGAATATCTCCAGCAATGCCCTTAGATAAATTATAAATCTGATAGCCAATCAAATCGGCAATAGATGTCACATTTTGAGTTACTTCACAGTGAATAATTATGCTACTCAGGTGCATCAAATTTGCCACGGCTGAAATCCCAGCAATGAGTTAGAGAAAGATGATCGACAATAAACAAACATTTCTATGCAGAACTGCCTCCAAATATGTCTTGTTTCGGTGCTGGTTGCTTTCCCTCAGCTGTCAGTATATTTAAATCCACAATTCCACATCTGAAAAACAAATGAGACTATCAGAAATTCCTTCCACAATTCCTCCAACTGACTCGGTTACACTCCAGCTAGCAAATTATTCCACCACTTTCTCATTCCCTTTCTCCCTCTTTCTGGTTCTTTCTTTCTGACAACCCTTGCAGAATCATACTTGAGGTCCATTTGCAGACCCTCAGTGCCTTCTCTTCCACAAAAGTCACATTTACTGGACAAAATGGCCCCAATGTTAATGAACAGATGATAATAAAATTGGATTTTGTGCTCCAAGGGCCATCATGTTTAGTTAGACAGACTAGCCAATTTCCACACATACTATTTAGATTAAACTTAATGGGGATGAGGAATACATTGGGAGGGTTGTGATTTCAGAGGGTGTTTGCCATATGGTCCTGCTTCTTTATTTTCCGTCGGGATGTTAAGCTGCTGTTGATTCAGAAAAAAAGGTAATTCAAGCCAGGAAGTAGAGAGAAGCTCTTTCTGGGGGCACAAGTTAATATGGGGCCCTTTACAAAGAAATCAATTAGATGTGATGGCAGCAAGTAGAACAATGTGAGTGAAAGAGACCAGAGGACCCCTATGTAGATACAACTTTTTGTTTTTCAGGTCCAATCACATTTTCAAAGTGGTGCAATTTTCACCTTGTCTCTTATTTTTTCACTTAAAATGAAAAACGGATTACGCATTCGAGGGGTTATCCCAAAGTGAGAGCCAGTCGCCATGGTAACAGCAGCAGGTGGAAATGCAGCCAGACAAGCCGTCGGGCTGGCAATGGAGTATCAGTCAGGGCTGAGAGGCAGACTAGTGAAGTTGCCCGGCCTCCTGAGGATGCAGAGAAGTGGCTCTGGGGTGGTGCTAGATTCACTTTACTGTGCCAACATCAATTATTGACAGTGTCAACATTGACACACAGGAAGGAAGGCCTAAGTTCTGTTTGTGTGTGTGTGAAAGAGAGAGAGAGCATGTCTTGTGAGCAATGTGACAGTTTGTTTTGCTTGTATACATAGATGGAGAGGTGGAGAGGAGTCACAACAGTCTAAGTGCTTTGGGTGTGAAGACGTGGCAGTCACCTGACCAAGAGTCTCACAAAATTCAACAGGTAATGTACGATTGTTTTACACTTTTTTTACATTTAGGTAGGATGATGACGTATATCAGTGGGTCTGTGTGTGTTGGGAGTGCATAGTATGTCAGCCTGGACACTGAGGTGACATTAAGTCTTCTAATAGTAGTCTTATGCTTGATAACACCGTGCTCTTGTGCAAATTATTTTATACATTCTTTCGCAAAGTATAGAAGTTAGGTTCACATTTGCTTATGTATTGATGTTGCTTATACTTATAGCATTTCTACAATGTTTGTATATTTATTTTGTTAAATATATAATAATAATTATGAAGTAAAGAGAATAGAAAATAAAGAAACTATATAAGGGCCTTATTTATATCCACAATGATAAAAAAAAGTTGAAAGCACTCCTATTAAACATTTGTTATACATACAATAGACAAAAGTTTAAATTTTCATTTGGACTTAATTTAGTCTAATCTCACTTGTCTCTGGGACACCCAGACTCCTAGATTTTTCTGACCACTCACTTTTGCCAAAAGAGAGTCCAAGAAATGGCCGTAAATAATAAATGGTGCAAGCCATTTGTTTAAAAGCTAAGGGAAATTACATTGATTTAAAGTGTAGCATTCCGTGGGGAAAACTATGAAAACATATTTTCAGATTGCATTACTTACATTTAACCAAAACAATTAAAATATGCTCAATGGAACTTGGAACAAATTATAGAAAATATAGCAGGTCAAGCTTTGATACCTCTTTGGAATTGCTCAGTCCCTGAAATAAAAAGGATAATAAAAGACTTGTGATCAAGATAAAGGCCGATGGCAGACTTATTTTCTTATGGACCTTATTTGCACGGATGTCAGAGTCTGTGTGCTGTCTGCCTGCTAAAAGCCTTTATCCAAAGCATTGCCAAATGAGACATGTTATGCAAATGAAAAACAAAGTCTAATTCTGTCCTTATGGAATATTTAACTGGTCGAAGTGGACTACATTGCCTGCAATTTTAATTATCACTTTCATAATCTCAAGTTATTAAATGAGTGCATTTGTTTACATTTGATCGTCATAGAGAAAATGTATCAGTGGACTGCTGCAAGTATTTTAAATAATTTACTACGGTACTGTACGCCTTTTCCAAACAGTTTACTCTCTTTGATGAAAAGTGTTCACCACAAAGTGTCATGCAAAAGCATGTTCAGAGGAAAAATCACATACTTTGTTTTGAAATTAGGTTTATGGAACAATAATGAATTAGGGATCAGGATGTTATGTTGCATCAGGGCAGTGGTGAAAAAAGGTACTAAAATATTTACCTGAGTAAAAGTATCACCACAGTTTAAAATACACTGTTACAAGCAAAATACCTATATTCAAAAGTACAAAGTATTAGCATCAAACTTTTCTTAAAGAACAGAAATTGATCACAAAAGCACTTCCTTACAGCTCTTGAGAACATGTACTTGGTTACCATCATATACAGTCTATGGTTACCATGCATCAGGGACAAATCCATATTTCTTAATGTTCTAAAAAGCACCTTCAGAATCCTCTGGCCCAAGGACCGGAATCTGTGCATTTTTCTTTTTTTTCCATTTCTTATTAGGATAGAGTCTCATTGTGCTTCTGTGTGCTGGCTTTGCCTCACTGTGTCAAGCATGGGGAGAGTCATCTGACTAAAGAACAAACAGCAAAGCCCTTAAGAAAGTCAAGACAGCTGACCCGCCGTTGAAATGTTCTATTAGAGATTATGTCATGTTGTCAATATGTCATGCCGTATCAAATTAAGTTCTGCTTCATTTTCTGTACTTGCCACACAAGAGCTCAATTGACCAGATGAACGTACTGTACAGCATGTCTACTGTGTTGATTAATGACTAAACATTTAGCAGGAGGCATTAGCAAAAACAGAAGGGTGGAATGGGGTTTCCATGCATAATTAAGTATCTTTATCATTTAAAATCTCTTTTATCCACATGCTGCAGGTGCCAGAAAAACGAAGCTTTCCTGCTGCTGAAGGGGACAGACCTGTAGGCTGGCAAGCTCTGAGGAGAGCCTGGAATACCAAGAGGGTGTCGGTTTTCCCTGGAGGCAGTCAGTCCAACGAGCCCCCCATAGGGACAAGCTCAGACACCAACAGGAAGCCACCTCTGATGAAATCAACCAGCATAGACCCCCACAAGCCTCCTCCTCCATATCGAAACACTTTTGCTGATCCCTGCAAACCACACACTCTGCTGCAAGGGACAAGCAACACCGAAACAAACAAGTCACACGCGCCTTTGCACAGGACCAGCAGTGTTCAGCCTATAAGGGCAACCCCCCCACTGTTCACCGCCTCACAGGCAAACTCCGCTGTGACAACAATCATCCCTCAGAACAAAGCTGGCTTCTCCTCTATTACCATCTCTTCTAGGAAAGTGTGCAGATCATCTAGTTTGCCTGGCCGAAACCCCTTTTCCAACTCCCCTTCTCCACCACTGGCCCACCAACCCATGGACCCAAACTCCATGCAGGTCACAGTGCAGAGGAAGGCCACTATAGTCAAAGTCACAGAGCAAAGGATGACTTCCGGGCCTGTCATGAATGCAAAAAGCACAACCTCACCAACTAGCCACACTTTGGACACAGTGGTGCACAGAAGAAAGGCTACCATCATCAAAGTAACGGAGCACACAGAGAGCTACAGTCCAGCCAAGGCAGGGGCCGGGACCCCGAGGCACCCGGAGTACAGACACAGCTACACAGAGGGAGTGTACAATGAAGACAGCATGTGGAGTGAGGGGAATCATTCACAACACACTTCACATCACCCTGTAGAATCCACAAAGTCGCCAAACTCTGCTGTAGAAACAAATACATCCAACTTAAACGCAGAGCAAAATGGTGGGACATTACACAGATCCTCTCTGAAGCTTTTTTTCAGCAAACCCCCTGCTATAGCAGCCCCCGAGGTTTCCCCAGAAGCTGTTGGACAGAGATCGGGCAGGCCTAGCAGACCACTGAGCTGCTATGGCAATATGTTTGGACACACTGAGCCAAGTGAAGACATTTTGAGACAACCAGCCATCAGGAAATGGAGCTTTGGGCTTCCACAAGAGACCAATATCAACCCTGTGAACTCTGACAGTGTCTTCAGCCGGCCGTCATCAGCAAACGAAGCGCCAGACGCACCGAACGGAGGCCAGAAAGAAAGATGGCCGCCTGAGAATTCAGAGAGGAGAGCGTCCCCCAGTCTGACTCTCATCCAGGCCCGGGGTAGGTTTCTCTGTCCCCCCTTGACAGTCTTCCTGTCAGCACACAGGCTCCCTTTGTCTCTGATCTCCATTTTCAAACGATGGCGATGTCTAAATATTAGGGCTGTCAGTTGATTAAAATATTTAATCGCGATTAATCGCATGATTGTCCATAGTTAATCGCGATTAATCGCACATTTTTTATCTGTTCTAAATGTACCTTAGAGGAATATTTTTTCAAGTTTTTAATACTCTTGTCAACATATGAGTGGACAAATATGCTTTATGCTAATGTTTATTATCATTTGAACAATGACAAATATTCTCATGAATATTAAACACAACAACCTCTGAACATTACAAATATTCGCCTCAATTCAACCTGGAACCTCTCTCATACAATAATACAACACAAATGGTGTGTGTGTGTGTGTGTGTGTGTGTGTGTGTGTGTGTGTGTGTGTGTGTGTGTGTGTGTGTGTGTGTGTGTGTGTGTGTGTGTGTGTGTGTGTGTGTGTGTGTGTTGTGTGTGTGTGTGTGTGTGTGTGGTGTGTGTGTGTGATGGATCGTTGGAGCTATGTGCAACTCAAGGCATATGCTCGAACGGGAGCTGCCTGGACGCTGCAATCATGTTGCGCACTATCCGTGCTGAGTGTGCTGACTTTTCGTACAATGTCCCACTGTCTGGCTTCCTGCATAAAGTCAAGTGCTCGGCGCAGTTGTGGCGAAATGTCGCTCCTCTGTTTTCATTTAAACAGCTCCATATCCGTTAGCGCAACTAGCTAGCACCAGATGCTAACAACAACAATGCACGTAAGGTCACTCTCTCGCTCGCTCGGGCCACACATACACACACCCTCCCGGTCCTCCAGATGGCCAGTCGGTGCCTGCCGGTGAGCGTGGAAGTGTGGTCTGCCACAAGCGGGCGGCAGGAGCGGGGCTGTCAGCATCAGCTTGTAGATGGTATTTTAAACTCGATGCGCTCTGAAACTACGGGGCGGCCGAGGACAAAAAATACACATGCGTTAATCGCGTTAAAATAATTAGTGGCGTTAATTTTTTTTTGCGTTAACGCGTTATTAACGCGTTATTAACGCGTTAACTTGACAGCCCTACTAAATATACATCTCCTCTGTGCCGTGTGTGTGTGTGTTCTAGCTTCAAGTTGTTGCACACCCTGCAGCGTTCTGGGGTTGAACTCTCAGGTTTGATATTGTCTTTCCAATGATGTCTTATTGATAGGCGTTATAAGATTGTACTGGATTGTTCCTTTATCTGCTGCCTTAAGTGCAATTGACATATATCTGCGCCAATGTCAAACAGTATTGCTTTGACACAGAGGCCCATTGGTACCTACAAGTTTTCTCATTTTCACCTTCTTTCATTTCCCCCACACATTTCTTTGCATGTATAATCTAGTCTAATTTTTTTGCTGACAGCACAGGGGAGGACGACAAAATCACAAGCTGCTAAACATGGTGAAAATAAAGCATTATGATTTGTTTGGCATCCAGATCCTGTGATGTACTCTATAACATTTAGGTTTATTTCTTTGTAATATTCTAGTGAGGGGACACAACTCTATTGGCACATTCAGGGGCCAGTCCATGAAAGCTTTGTATTTCAGATGTAATGCTTGGTTTTTGGTTGTGGTTCGATAAACCAAAGCGAGTTTTAACGTAATGAGTTGTGTTCTACATTTTGGTAAATAGACTTTCTCACTGAGAATTAGATAAGAAGATCGATACCTCTCAAAAATATCAAGAGTGCTATTGATCTTCCTATTTAACTCTTGGCAAGAAAGTAAATACATTTATTAAATAAAATGTCAAATTTGGTCTATTTAAAGTTAGAGGTAATTCTCCATCAAACAAATGCAGAGCTGTTTGAAAGTGTTATTGGTCAAGTTGTATCTCAAGCCTCAGTTATTACATTTAACATCAAGATGCAAGTTATTTGTATGTAATGCTTCAGCTGAGCATTACATGAGAAGATGATGTTGTTGTGTTTATCTTTTGACACTCCAGGATAAAAAAAAACTGGGAATTGAAAGTTTTTCCATTAAGTCTGAACTCCTAATTTGGGACTTACCCTGAGACAAGTCCTAGTTTTGAGACCACAGTTCTAAAATGGATGTGAAGTGTGTGCAATATCCTCACAAGGAACAAAATAAAACATTGTAATATGTTTAATTATGGGTATTTTTGGATTGCTGAATATCCAGGTAAAACGTAAAATAAGAAGGGAGTATTTTGCTGAGTGTGTTTCTTTGTTCACAATGTCTTAGCTCTGTGTGAAATAATTAATCGTCTTTATCACATTCATTAAGAGAGTCATCAATTAATTAAAAAAGCCTGTAGGCAACATCATTTAAATTGAAATGCTCAAGACCTGGAAGACATTATTCAACATCTGAAATCCTCCTCCTGTAGCCTCGATATTATTCCGACAGGATTTTTCAAAACTGTTTTTCCCTGCATGGCCTAAGATATACTACACATAGTAAACAACTCTCTTCAATCAGGTGTATTTCCGCAGGCCCTGAAAACTGCAGTAATTAAAGCGCTCCTAAAAAAGCATAACTTAGACACAACCGTAATGAATAATTACAGGCCAATATCAAACCTTCCTTTTTTAAGCAAATTGATTGAAAAAGTTGTTTTTCAACAGTTGGGTCATTTCATGTTTTTAAATGACGGTTTTGATGTGTTTCAGTCGGGCTTTAGACCTAACCACAGCACTGAAACTGCACTTGTAAAGGTCTTAAATGACATTCATTTAAACACAGACAGTGGCAGAATATCAGTTTTAGTATTATTAGATCTCAGTGCTGCCTTTGATACTGTTGACCACAACATATTGTTAGACCGTCTAGAAAACTGGGTGGGAGTTTCAGGAACAGCTCTAAACTGGTTTAGCTCCTACTTAAAGGACAGAAAAAACGTTGTCTCAATAGGCAACTACACATAAACTTTGACAAATATGTCATGCGGGGTTCCTCAAGGCTCCATCTTAGGACCTTTGCTTTTTAATATTTATATGCTACCTCTGGCTGAAATTATTAAAAAGAGCGATCTAAGCTATCACATCTATGCAGACTACACCCAGATTCAGCTAATTACCGCTGGTGTCTTATTTCTCTTTTCTTTAGTTTTCTAGCCCCTCATGCTATAATCATGTGTATTTTCTCCATTCCTGTTCATGTGTCTTCTCGCAATTATCACTGGCCCCGTGTATCTCCTAATCGCTATAACCGGCCTGCTCTCATCTATCCCACATGCTCCACTGAGATCCAACATCTAGTTTCAGGTGGCCTGTGGAATTGCCAGTCAGCTGTTCCTAAGGCTGACTTAATCTCTGGCTACGCCTCCCTGCAGTCTCTGGATTTCCTTGCTTTCACTGAGACCTGGATTACTCCATTCAACACATCCACCCCAGGAGCTCTCTCCACAGCATATTCCTTCTCCCATACACCCAGACCCACTGGCAGAGGAGGTGGCACTGGTCTCCTGCTATCTCCCAAATGGAGCTTTTCCCTCTTCAAGCTACCTAACTTCACTCCTTCCACCTTTGAATTCCATGCCGTCACAGTAACCCATCCTATACAATTAACCATTGTTGTTCTCTACCGTCCACCAGGCGCCTTGGGGGACTTCTTGGAGGAATTAGATAATCTCCTCTCACACATCCCTGAAACTGGCCCTCCCGCTGTACTTCTCGGAGACTTCAACCTCCAGACAGGGAAGATAGACGAACTGACATCTCTGTTAACCGCCTTTGCGTTCTCACTGTCTCCTTCCCCACCAACTCATAAAGCTGGCAATGTCCTTGATCTCATATTCTCAAGGAACTGCGCTACTTCTAACCTCTCTTTAAACCCGCTCCACACATCCGATCACTTTTTCATTTCATTCTCTCTACCCCTTTCCAAACATAACAAACTAATCTCTTCTCATCCTGCACCTGTCCGCCGTAACCTTCGTTCCCTCTCCCCCTCTACCTTTGCCTCATCGGTGCTCTCAGCCCTCCCTTCCTCGGACTCGTTCCAACTACTACCTCCAAACTCTGCTGCAGAAACTCTCCTCTCTACTCTCTCATCCACTCTGGACTCTCTCTGTCCTCTCACATCTCGGCAGGCTCGTCAGTCCCCTCCTGCTCCCTGGCTAAATGATGCACTGCGTGCTAATAGAACCGTCCTTAGGGCAGCAGAGCGGAAACGGTGGAAATCCAAACACTGTGACGACCTCCTAACCTATCAGGCTCTCCTCTCCTCTTTCTCTGCTTCGATCTCTCAGGCAAAAAGCACTTTCTTTCAAGATAAGATCCAATCTTCCTATTCCAATCCCAAAAAAACTATTTTCCATCTTCTCCACCCTCTTGGACCCTCCCAAAGCCCCTCCCCCCTCCTCACTTCTGTCAAGCGACTTTGTTATCCACTTTGAAAAAAAGGTTGATGATATTCGCTCTTCTTTTTCTGACTCCCCTTTACTCACCGCTGGGTCACCAGACCCTCCTTCCACCCACACACTAACCTCCTTTTCCCCTCTCTCTCCAAGTGAGGTTCTCACCCTCATTACCTCTGCCCGCCCTACCACCTGTCCTCTGGACCCCATCCCTTCAAACCTCCTTCAGACTATCGCTCCTGATATTCTACCGTTTCTCTCCCATTTCATCAACACTTCTCTAACTTCTGGTCACTTTCCAAACAGTCTCAAGGAGGCAAGAGTAAACCCTCTCCTAAAGAAACCCACTCTCAACCCGTCAGATGTTATAAACTACAGGCCTGTCACTCTACTCCCGTTCCTGTCTAAATCACTTGAACGCGCTGTCTTTAAACAACTCTCCTGTTATCTCCATCAGAACAACCTTCTGGATCCGCACCAGTCTGGTTTCAAGGCAGGTCACTCCACAGAAACTGCTCTCATTGCTGTCACTGAGGAACTGCACACTGCCAAAACAGCATCCCTCTCCTCTGTCATCATCCTGTTGGACCTGTCTGCTGCATTCGACACGGTGAATCATCAGATCCTCCTTCGCATTCTCCAAAAACTTGGAGTTTCAGGCTCTGCACTTTCCCTCCTCACCTCATACATCAAAGACCGTACCTACAGGGTAACTTGGAGAGGGTCTGAGTCCGACCCTTGTCAATTAACTACAGGGGTCCCTCAGGGCTCTGTTCTTGGTCCCCTCCTCTTCTCCCTGTACACAAACTCGCTCAGATCAGTCATTAGCCCGCATGGTTTTTCATACCACTGCTACGCTGACGACACCCAATTAATTCTGTCTTTTCCCCGCTCAGAGACCCAGGTCGTCGCACTCATCTCTGCTTGTCTAGCTGACATCTCTCAGTGGATGTCTGCTCATCACCTCAAGCTCAACCTTGACAAGACTGAGCTGCTTTTCCTTCCGGGAAAAGATTGTCCCACTCTTGACCTAACAATCAACATCGGCACCTCAGTTGTTTCCCCGACTCAGACTGCAAGGAATCTGGGGGTGACCCTAGATAACAACCTGTCCTTCACTGCAAACATCGCTGCTACAACCCGTTGCTGCAGATACACGCTTTACAACATCAGGAAGATACGTCCCCAGCTGACACAGAAAGCGACGCAGGTTCTGGTCCAGGCTCTCGTCATCTCACGCCTAGACTACTGCAACTCCCTCCTGGCTGGTCTACCTGCATGTGCCATCCGACCTCTGCAGCTCACCCAGAATGCAGCGGCTCGTTTGGTCTTCAACCTTCCTAAATTTTCCCACACCACTCCGCTCCTCCGCTCCCTTCACTGGCTTCCGGTAACTGCTAGAATCCACTTCAAGACACTGGTACTTGCTTACCATGCTGCGAATGGATCTGGCCCTTCGTACATCCAGGACATGGTTAAACCGTACACCCCAGCGCGTGCACTACGCTCTGCATCAGCCAAACGACTCGCTACACCCTCGATGCGAGGGGGACCCAAGTTCCCATCAGCAAAAACACGTGGGTTTGCTATCCTGGCTCCAAGATGGTGGAATGAGCTCCCCATTGACATCAGGACAGCAGATAGCTTGCACATCTTCCGGCGCAAACTGAAAACTCATCTCTTTCGACTCCACTTCGAGCGATCGAATTATTAAAAAAGCACTTATATACTAATAAAGGACTGGCTTATCTAAACCCAGTTGAGTAGCACTTGAAATGTTTGGCTCTATGAAACCTGATGTACTTATATGATTCTGTTTTCTTCAAGGTTGTGTCTTCCTGGTCGAATGTACTTATTGTAACGGCCCGTCTACACTACAGGCGTCAAAAAATGCTTTCAACGCTTCGCCCATTCATTTGAATGGGGTGACGTAGGATATTTTCAAACTTCGCCGAACTGCATTGTGGGTAGCATGGCAAGGCGTCGCAAGCATCGCGAGCGTCTATCGGCGTCAAAAGTTGAACAATGTTCAACTTTTGAGGCTCGATGCTTGCTCGAAGCTGGCGTCAGCCAATCAAATCCTGTTTATGCAAATCCCGCCAGTACAAGCGCTAGCCAATCAAACCGCGTGCAAGCTGGGAGAGCCAGACCGCAGTTCATTTCCTCATATTCCAAACGAGAAATTACGGTAGCAAATCACCCGGTTCTTTATGACCAGAACTATTTACCGGGATACAAACCGGAGCAACCAGGCATGGAGGGAGGTGGCAGAGACAGTGGGTGAAACTGGTAGGTTTTCGCCTGTTTGTGGAGTTTATATCCAGTTTACTTCGTTTTAACATTGCTATTGCTTTGTATGTCGGGGGCGGAAGATTCATGTGATTGGTTGTTGGTCGCGTTGCTCGCAAAAAATTGCCAAGCTTCAGACACGCCCAGCTTCAAGCTTTTTTGACGCCTGTAGTGTAGACGGGCCGTAAGTCGCTTTGGATAAAAGCGTCAGCTAAATGCAATGTAATGTAATGTAATTTATTTTAAAATCACACCAGGAGACTATTCTCCGATTAGAACACTGAGCAAGTGTATTCAGCACATCACTGACTGGATGACTCAGAACTTTCTCCAACTGAACAAACAAAAAACTGAGATCATTGTTTTTGGAGCAAAGAAGGACCGATTAAAAGTAATCGCAGAGCTTCAGTCGGCAGACTACAAAACCACTAATAAAGCCAGAAATCTAGGTGTAGTGATGGACTCAGACCTGAATTTCAACAGCCACATTACAACAGTCATTAGGTCTGCTTATTATCACCTGTAGAATATGTTGAGGATTAAAAAACGAATGTCACAACAGGACTTAGAAAAGCTTGTCCATGCTTTTATTTTCAGTAGACTCGACTACTGCAATAGTGTATTCACAGGGCTGACAAAAAAATCCATCAGAAAACTGAAGCTGATTCAGAACGCTGCTGCACGTGTCCTCACTAACACTAAAAGAGTGGATCACATCAGTCCGGTTCTGAAATCTCTACATTGGCTTCCAGTCGACCAAAGAATTGATTTGAAAGTACTATTGCTAGTTTTTAAATCATTACATGGTTTAGGACCAAAGTATATTGTTGAACTCCTACATAATTACGAGCCATCAAGGCAGGGGCGGACTGGCCATTGGGAATACCGGGGGTTTCCCCGGTGGGCCGGAGGGCCAAAAAAAATAAAAATAAAAATAAATCAAAATAATAATAATAATTTGTTTTGCCTAAATCCTACCGGCCCACATTTGTAAGTGTTCCGGCCACTCCATTTTTTGTTGTTATTGCATCAATGATCTGTTAACATTAAAATCACTAAATATATGCTGTAACTATTTTGCTCTAGGCAACTCAAGGGCTCAATTAATGTGATTACTATATGAATAATTGTCCAAAATAACATAAAATGCATAGGGTTTTTTGTTAAGTAACATACTTTCGTCGCCGGCCGGCCGATACATGCCGCGCATTAAGTGGGCCTGTCTGTCAATTAATCCCCGGGCCACTTTTTCCCCCCAGTCCGCCCCTGCATCAAGGTGCCTCACGTCTTCTGGGACGGGTCTGCTATCGGTTCCGAGAGTAACAACAAAACATAGAGAGGCAGCATTTAGCTGTTATGCCCCGACACTCTGGAACAAACTACCCAAATCATGCACGTCCGCAGAAACGCTTACTATTTTAACTCGAGACTAAAAACATATATCTTTGCCGCTGCTTTTAATTGAGATGCTCATATCCGAACTACAGTATGCCTTTTAAACATGTATTGTATACCTGTGGTGTTTATTTTGTATTATTTTATTATCTTTGCTTTGTAATGCCTGTTGTAAAATGCCATTATATAATGTGTTTTTACTGTATTTATTCCTAAAAAGTATTTTAATTTGTTTTGTAAAGCACTTTGAATTGTCGCGTAAGTGCTATATACATAAACTTGCCTTGCCTTAACATTTGATACAGTCAACCTTAAAATGAGGCAGGGATTATAAAATAGTTTTAACATCTGCCCGCGGTGCCCAGCAGCCCAACGGCAGTCAGTGTCACAGTTGTACTGTCCCTTCACTCACGTTAAAGTCTTCTTGTGTTTCAGATCCCAGCTCCAATCAGACTCAAGAGAAAGTGCTTGCCCTCAATGCAGCTGCCATCATAGCAAATATCAAACTCCAAAGACAACTTAGTAAGAAAAAACCCCCAAGTGACAGTTGTGAGAAGGTTTCTGCTGCGTCACCCCAAGGAAATACAGGTATCATAACTTCTCTCCTCCCCTCATTGTAATCAGAATTTCTCACCTTATAAAACATTGATCTTTGTTGTAATTAGCTGACAAGTTTGCAAACTCAACACTTTGTTGTCAGAGCTACATCCTTCATTGAATCAATAACAGATGTAGTCAAAATGTCTTGGCTCTTCCATACTGTGAATATTTGATTTATACCATGAAGAAAATACTACATGTCATGGCAGGCCCAGAGGGCTTCTGGGCCCAGAAATCTAAAGCCAAGGCACGTGTAAATGAAATGCTTGTTTGTGATAGATGAAGGGAAATGTATGAAGCCACATCCAGATCAAAGAACAATCGGGTGCCACAACCAGCCCCATGCTGCATTTGTTTCACTGAGTCCTGACGCTGAAAGGTCACCTCAGACTATTTCTCTACAGGTAAGTTCAGATGTTTTTTTTAGCAAATAAAACAATTTGATTGGGATTTTAGTTCTCAAAAGAAGAATGTTATGTAATAGATATGACATACAATTTGTGTATCCCTTTGGAACATTGCAATGTCTAATGCCGCATTCACATGCTCTCTGGTTTATCCCATGTGAAGTTGTTCTATTATTATGACTTATCAATCGTTGCTCTGAGTATTTTAACAGTGAAGATTCATGATGCTATCCAAGTATGCTTCTTGATTCTTCTATGATTTTGACCCTCAGGCTGAACACCAAGTACACTTACTGTAGGTGTCAACAAAAGGGAATGACACATTTTTACAGACTTACTTTGGAATGTTCCAAGGAGTGGCCCAGAGCTATATTGCAGGGGCAGTTGGAGTGGGAAGTTGGGCTTACGTCTTTTGTCAGAAAGAGCAATATGTTTCTGGTCTTGGCAGAACGCACTGCAGAGGTCCAGACCGGACTTCATCAGTCGCTCCCAGGGAAGACTGCGAGAGCTGGAACGACGGGGCGCAG